CATACATTACCAGCATATCATGACAACCAGCTTTAAGCTCAATACTACAATCTCTCCTGTTGTTCAGATAAGGAAATGGAGGCAGGGATTGAACATGCCTTTACATAGTCAGGAAGTGGTGAGGACTCAAACCTAGGCAGGGATTGAACATGCCTTTACATAGTCAGGAAGTGGTGAGGACTTATAACCATGTTGGAATTTGACTAGTTTCTGAAGGACATCTGTGTTCATGGCAGAGCTGGGATAGGTGCTGGGGTGCCCAACCTTCCAACTGAGGCATAGAAAAAAAATCAAGCAGTTTGCCCAAAGGACAAAGTGAGTAGCAGAGCTTTGTCTGAGGCCTCAGGCTTCCAGCTTTCAGCCCAGTGCACCCTGCCCTCAGGTCAGGCGTTCCTGGATGGGCAGACTCACACAAGGGGCCTGAGTGTCAAACAGACATCAGGTACCAGGCCTGGGTGGGGGGCAGCAAGGGGCCAGGCAAGTGTGCAGTGGGTACCGGGTATGACCTGCCACAGAAGTGCAACGGGGCATTGCAGCAAGCTGTTCAGAAGCTAAAAGTGGAAGAACACCAAGTTTGCTGAGGATCCTCAGTGTGTCAGCCCTGGGGCTTATTTAATCCTTTCCACAGCTCTGGGAGGCTCCTCATTTTAGACACGAGAAAAAGGCATCGGCAAGACTTGGCCAAGGTGACCCAGCTAGGTGGGGGTCAGATTAGCCTTCCAGCCTCTGTCCAGGTACCTGGAGCTGTGACTGTCCATTCTTTGGCCCTATGCTGTGTCCCTGGAGCCCCTCTGACTTCTAGTCAAGGGCAGGAACTGTTCTTAGTGGGGTGCATAGGGCCAGTGGATCACTTGGCTGGAATCATGTAGGGCAGAGAGCATGGCACTCTCTTTATCTTTGGCACTCTCCTTTGGGGCCAAGCCCAGGATAGCCTGAAGTTTTTAGGTCATCATCTCAGGCTGAGGCTGCTGCCACACCTCTCAAGTGGCTAAAGCCTGGGTGGGAACAGAGGGTGTTCACTGTGCCCTTGAGTCACGTGCTGTAAAATCCACGAGCCCTGGTGCAGCTCCTGCCTGTGTGGGTTGCAGAATGGGTTTGATAGGTGACTCACTGGCTTAGCAACTGGTCACAGCTATGGGACTTACTATTATCCCCATGTACAGATGAGGAAATGAGATGCAGGAAGGTTGACTCACACAGCCAGTGCCTGGAGGGCTGGCAGCAAGACTTTCTGACTCCCAAGACTACACGCCCTAACCCTGCTGTACCAAGACAGGTCCATCAGCAGCAAGCCCTGTGGGGGTGGCTGCAGGAGCAGGGGCTGGTGTGGGGAAGGAGGGGGATGTGGGGTCTGTAGGGGACAGGGCCGGGGGCTGGAAAGGGTTCAACAGGAACCTGTCCCCAACAAAGACTGGCGAGTGCGGGCCTGACATAAGCCAGGGTCAAAATGCATGGGGCACAGTCCAGCAGGGGGCCTGGCCAGCTGCACTGGTCAAATCAACTCAGGCCAGGGCCAGTGGCAGAGTTCTGTGCAATACATCAATTTAGCATAAAATTCCAGCCAGGCCACTCAGTGCCTGTAGCACAGTAGTTACGGCACCAGTACACGGAGGGTGGTGGGTTCAAACCCACCCCGAGCCAACTAAACAATAACAACTGCAACAAAAAAATAGCTGGGTGTTGTGGCAGGCGCCTGTAGTCCCAGCTACTTGGGAGGCTGAAGCTAGAGAATCAATGAAGCCCAAGAGATTGCTCTGAGCTGTGAGTCACAGCACTGCAGTATGCTATGGAGCGCAACATAGTGTAACTCTGTGTCAAAAAAAAAAAAAAAAAAAAAAAAATTCCAGCCAGGTCATGCAGTAAAGAAAAGGGCTGACAGGTGTCAAGAACCTAGGAGAAAGTTGAGGCTCAAGTAGGGGATCGAGAAGGTAGGGTGCCAGGCCAGGTGAGGTGGCCCATGCCTGTAATCCTAGCTCTCTGGTGGGTAGATTGCCTGAGCTCATGAGTTCAAGACCAGCCTAAGCCAGAGGGAGACCTCATCTCTAAAAGTAGCCAGGCGTTGTGGCAGGCACCTGTAGTCCTAGGTACTCAGGAGGCTGAAGCAAGAGGATCAGTGGAGTCCAAGAGTTTGAGGTTGCTGTGAGCTGTGATGCCACACATTCTGCTGAGGGTGACAAAGTGAGACTGCTTCAAAAACAAAGATGGGAAAGGGAAAGGGAAAAAGGGAAAGGGAAAGAAAGTCTGGTGGGTAAGGACTTCTGAGACCAGGAACACGTAGCTTTGATTCCTACTTCATAGCTGAATGACCTTGGGAAAGTTACTTAACCTCTCTGAGCCTCACTGTGTTCATCTGCAGATGAAGAACTGATGTGGGTATAGCTGGGCACAGGGCAGGAATCTGGGCAGCAGGGTGGGAAGTCTGTCCTGGTTTCTGGCTCTGCGGCTATATGCCTAGTCCCAGCTTTCACTGCTGGTGAGGCTGAAATTCTGTCTGCATCCTGCCAGGGTCAAAGCTAGACTGGGAACCAGACTGAACTCAGCCAGTGGGTAAAGGGCAAGAGTGACTTGGGCCTAGGGCAACATTGGTTCTGATAATGCTGTCACCAAGGAAGTGCTGATGGAGACTGGATACTTCCACTCAGAAAGTCCACATAGTTGAGACAAATGCTGGGCTTTAAGTTTAAAGTCAGCTGGCAGAAAATATGTCAACAGGTTTGCCCCTCTAGTCTGCTTAGAGGAAGAATGTAAAAGGGTGACATTTTCTCAGAAGCCATATCACCTCTACGTTTGATTAGGAGGCCCGAGTCTCCTCTCAGGGGCACTGAGTAGAAGGCAGCCAAATGAGGGGTCTCTGCTAGTAATATCACCCCTGGTTCAAGTCCCCATGCACATAAGAGTGAGCATTTTCTTAGAAGTCCCTGTCACCCACTAGTTGAAGGGTCCATTCATGTGGCTACCTCTGGCTTTCTTTGTTGAATAAAAGGAGTAAAATAAAAGTGTGTATAGTGCCCTAAAAACTGCCCCTTGGGATAAAATCAGAGAGCAATTAGACAAAGGCAACTTCTCAGGGGGACCCCCCCTCTAGCTCCTTCTTGATAGTGAGTTTTGCTCACTCCTCAAATGTATGAGCAGGTTCACAAGTCCACTGGGGGTACATGAGACTTGAGCCCCAGAGTAGCTGAACCCCACAAGCTGCTCTAAGAGCAGAGGGGGAACAAAGATGACTGAACTCCCCTGGCCACCCCTCTGCCTGGATGCCAGTTCTATTTTCCTTCTTCCTTGGGAGGGAATCACCTTTTGTGAAATGCCCACGAAAGCATTTTGCCCACAAGGGAGAGTGGGCAAAAGCTTGGAGGATCCCCCTGACTAGCCAAGTAGCCAGCCCCTCCCAACTAAGAATGGCCTTTTCTCCCCCAGAGAGGTTGGCGGGACTTCAACTCAGCGCCCCATCAAGCACGGCATCATTACCGCAGGAGGGCCATCCTCTTTAGCTAACTTCAAATCATCACTCTAACAGGGATGCCTCCTCCTCTCTGAAAGTGACCCCATGTTAGCAGAGCACATGACAGACCCCCACTACTCCTTCCCTGATAGCTCCAGGGGTGTCCCCAGCTCCACGCTCAGACACTGCTGGCTTACTTTGAAGCAGGCATGCTGCCCATTTCTAAAACACCTGAGGTTGAGATGAGTCACCAGCTAGATCAGACCCCCAAATGATCCACAGATTAAAGCTGGTTAAAGAACCAAGGAGGAGATATCACGTTCCTGCAAAGGAGGGGGAGGGGATAATTTTTTTTTGGTAGGTATCAAGTCTCAGAAACCCTTTCAAGAGTGTCCTCTTCAATTCTCCAGCCAAGGAGAGGGAGTGTGTACTGAGTCTCAGACAGTGGGGAACAGAAACTGCTGCCACTGGGGGGATTACTGTTTCCTAGCTAATCAGCCTCCACAGGACTCCACTGAGCCAGCAAGCCAGTGCCAGAGCACTCCTGCAGAGAAGGAGAGGGCTCATTTACAGCTCTCAGGGTCGCCACTTCTTGGGGGCAAGCTCTGTTCTTTCTGTAAGACTCTTGAAAAAAAAATATATATATGTATTTTGAGACAGAGTCTCACTTTGTCACCCTGGGTAGAGTGGTATGGCGTCATAGCTCACAGCAACCTCAAATTCTTGGGCTCAAGAGATCCTCATGCCTTAGCCTCCTGAGTAGCTGGGACTACAGGTACCCGCCCTAACGCTAGTTATTTTTTTAGAGATGGGGTTTCACTCTGGTTCAAGCTGGTCTCGAACTCCTGAACTCAAGCGATCTACCCGCCTCAGCCTCCCAGAGTGCTAGGATTACACGCGTGAGCCACTGCGACCAGCCCTTTCTCCAAGACTCTTGAGAAAGAACTCCCGTCTGATCTGCTTCCTTTCTCTCTGATTCCCAAGCCAGCCTGCTTCTCCTTGTGGGAGCCTTTGAGGCACCAGAAAAAATGTAAATTATTATTTGTGCCAGGGGATCACAAAGGTGAGGGGGTATCACAGTCTCCTAGGTGGGGCAACAGAACCCAGGAATTGTCTGTTGGAACATCTTCATACACAGCTACTCTTAATAAATCAGAACAAAGCAACATCTAATTCTGGGCATCGAAGCTTCTGAGTGCCACTGACATTTTGTTAAAAAGAAACCCATGAAAGCCAAGGTGCTAGCTGTCCCTGTACACTCTCTACCCGCTCCTGCCCATAGCTTAAGCCACAGGGGCACAGATCAGAGGAAGGGAGGGAATTATAGCTGGCTGGATGTGTGCATCACCAAGCAGGGTCACAGCTCTAGGTTCTAGAAGGAGCCCTTCCCCTCTTCACATCAGGGCTGGGCTAGAATGACCTATTACTAGTTCTCAGATGGAATGCATATCCCCTGGAGGTTCCTATACCTGCTCTTAGAATATCCTCAAATTATGCAATTTGAGTATGCTGTTGCCTGCCAAGACCCTGACTAACATAGGCACCACTGAGGCTTACATTGAATACTCAAGTATTTATTTATACCCTTAAACCAATGGCCTTGGACATGTTGTTCAAGGGCCATCTTCTCAATGTTGTAAACATGAAGATTAAAAGATCCCTGCCCTGACCCAGACCACTGACTGCCAGGTCATAGGATCTGTTTGAAAACCCAGGCCTAACACACTGGGTCCCTAGCACACGGAGACCCTCTGGGGCCCTCTGGAAGGAACTACATCTTTCTGGGCTGGTTGGTGGGTGATCTTTCACCCACAGAATGGAGGGGTTTGCTCACACTTGGGTCAAGGGCCTGAATACTGACCATACCCTCCATTCCAGGGGAGTCCCCTCAGGGTACGGAGGGCTGAAATTCTCTCGCATCTTGCTGTCAGCTAGGAGTAAGGCTGGAAGAATGCAAAGAGCCTGCAGCCGGGTTTTGGCACGGGCTTTGTACCAACTCAGATGCTGGCAACACCTTTCTGAGGGGCTATAGAGAAGGTGGAATGTAAACCACTAGCTAGGAAGGTGAGCCCCTGCTCTCTAACTGTGTCTTCTTCACATGTCTCTGGAATGGCTTCAAATGGCTCTGTTAATGTATCTCCATGCCTCTGCCCTGTGCAAGGACAAGGATCACTGGCATCTTGGGAGAGATACGGCCTGAGGGTGCTCTGCTCTGCACCAAACAGAAGTCTAGCACCTTCCTCCACGCCCCCTGAGTCATCCAGGCTCTCCCTTCCCATCTTCCAGGGGCTCCGAAGCATCAGGCAGCATGGACGTCCTCACAGTGCCCCTCCTAGATGAGGTGTCCTAGCAGGGAAGAACAGGCTGAGCCCAGCAGCAAGCCCACGTTTATGTAAAAGGACAACACAACACCCGTGGCCTCAGCCAGCTCCCTGGGCACAATCTTTGGCCCATAGATGAGAGCTAAGGTGCTGAGGTAGCCATTGCTGAGCCCTAGCAGGGAGCAGAAGATTATGGGGAAGACATCGGACTTGAAGACCACTATCTGCAGGTGGTCCCGGGGCTGGTAGTTGGAGAACACAAAGAGGGGGACGAGGCAGGTCCGAAGCAGCACGAGCCCCGGGAGCACCTTGCTCTTGGGCCCTGGCATCTGGATCCAGGCTGTGAGCTGCCGGCCACACAGGTCAGCGAAGTTGTATAGGAGGAAGGTGGTGAGGGGCGTGAAGAACTTGGTGGTCCACAGTGAGCCCGAGCCCTTGTGGAGGGACTCGATGTTGGTGCAGATGGCGGGGTAGATGAGGCTGCTGATGAAGAAGATATAAAGGACACAGAAGCCCAGGTTGGCTGTTGTCTTCAGGATGGGACGGAGGGGTGGTGCGTGGGACTCACTGGGTCCAGGGGCCACCAAAGGGGAGCTGAGGTTGTCCCGGGGCAGCTCCTCTTCACCAGAAAACCCACGGGCTGGACAAACAGGCCTCATGTAGTACCTGTGGGATTGAGAGGTCACCATGAAGCAAGTCGCTTGGCATTTTCAGGGACCAGGAGAACACAAAGTCAGCACAACCGGGAGTGGGGCTCAGGACAGAACTTTTAGGCCCAGCATATAAAGCCTAAGCTCCACATGGCCCATCAGTCCTGGATTCCCTGAGATGCTATATGCCGTTATGGGGTGGCTGAAGGAGGCCCAAACTACCCTTGGCCTGCCTGCCATGATATGCTTCAGTCCTTTATTCTGGGGGTGGGGGGCATGCCATGAGCAGGGACAGAGGAAACCAGCAATGACCACCACATGATAAGTCTGGGCTCTAGTCCTGACTCACCTGCTTTTTTTGTTATTGTTATTTTTGTTATCTTTACACAGGGTCTCTGCCAGTCAGACATCATCATAGCTCACTGCAGACTCAAACTTCTGGGCTCAAGTGATCCTCCCACCTCAGCCTCCTTGGTGGGATTACAGGAACGTGCCACCATGCCTGGCTAATTTTAAAATTTTTTGTAGAGACAAGGTCTTGCTATGTTGCCCAGGCTGGTCTTAAACTCTGGGGCTTAAGCAATCTTCCTGCCTCGCCCCCTAAAGTACTGGGTTTACAGGCATGAGCCACACCGTGCCTGGCCATAGCTTACTTTTTTTTTTTTTAGAGACAGAGTCTCACTTTGTCACCCTCAGTAGAGTGCCATAGCATCACAGCTCACAGCAACCTCCAGCTCTTGGTCTTAGGCAATTCTCTTGCCTCAGCCTCCTGAGTACTTGGGACTACAGGCACCTGCCACGATGCCTGGCTATTTTTTGTTGCAGTTTGGCTGGGGCCAGGTTTGAACCTGCCACCCTCAGTATATGGGGCTGGCACCCTACTCACTGAACCACAGGTACCGCCTTGTACCTTTATTTTTTTTTATTTATTCTATTTTATTTTATTTTGAGACAGAGTCTCAAGCTGTCACCCTGGGTAGAGTGCTGTGGTGTCACAGCTCACAGCTACCTCAAACTCTTGGGCTTAAGCGATTCTTTTGCCTCAGCCTCCCAAGTAGCTGGGACTACAGGTGCCTGCCACAATGCTCGGCTATCTTTTGGTTATAGTTGTCATTGTTTGGCAGGCCCGGACTGGATTTCAACCTGTCAGCTCCGGTGTATGTGGCTGGTACCCTAGCTGCTGAGCTACAGGCGCTGAGCCAAGGTTTGCACCTTTAATAAAGTTTGATAGATAATGATAAGCTTCCCTCCAAATAGGTACTACCAGTTTCTCTCTGCTCTGTACCACTTGCACAACCTAAATGAAGCAGCCTGCTCTCTTAATAGCTCTGAAAGCACTTGTTTCTTTAAAAAGACTGATTACAATCTATAATCACTGCATTGGTTTACTGGTAAGACAACTCCCTGGGGTAAGAACCATGTTTGGTTGCTTCTTGTTAAATCTTCAGGCACAAAGGAGCTCTTAAGTGCTGAAAACTGGTAAGTAACCTCTGATAGTGTCATCCCCCCACACTGAATATCATAAATCTTTTCCACACTTTTCAACACTAAATATCACCTCCTTTTTTTTTTTCTTTGAGACAGAGCCTCACGCTATTGCCCTGGGTAGAGTGCCGTGGCATCACAGCTCACAGCAACCTCCAACTCCTGGGCTCAAGCAAGTCTCCTGCCTCCACCTCCCAAGCAACTGGGACTACAGGCACCCACCACAATGCCCAGCTATTTTTTGGTTGCAGTTGTCATTGTTGTTTGACAGGCTCGGGCTGGATTCGAACCTGCCAGCTTAGGTGTATGTGGCTGGCGCCTTAGCCACTTGCGCCACAGGCGCCAAGCCTAAATATCACCTTCTACTACTCTGCCTGGTAAGAAAGCATTGGTTACTCTGTCTTGCTGTGTGCCTTGCCTAGGCTACTCAACCTCTCTGGGCCTCAGGTATCTGACAACCAAGAGACATAGGCTCACTGTATTAACAGCTCAAACAGAAGGACTCGGTATATGAATGAGGGAAAATAGTAGCTTGGTGATGGCTAAGTTCTGGTTTCAGCCTTGCCTCTGCCTTCCTGTGTGACTTTGGGGCTGGGTATGTACCTCTCTGAGCTTCAGTTTCTTTTTCTGTGAAATTAAGATTTTACAGGCCATGAGGTAGTTTTTTTGTTTTTGTTTGTTTTGAGACAGTCTCACTCTGTTGCCCCTGGTTACAGTGCTGTGGCATCATAGCTTACAGCAACCTCAAACTTCTAGGCTCAAGTGATCCTCTTGCCTTAGCCTCCAAGTAGCTGGGACTACAGGCTCTTGCCACAATGCCCAGCTAATTTTTCTATTTTTAATAGAGATGAGATCTCCCTCTTTCTCAGGCTGGTCTCGAACTCCTGAGCTCTGGTGATCTACCCACGTTAGCCTCCCAGAATGTTAAGATTACAGACGTGAGCCACCACGTCAGGCTGAGCCATGAGGTTTTGAAGCTGAGCCATGAGGTTTTGAAGCTCCTGCCAGCCCTCCCATCTGGAGTGTTCCTCCCTGGAATTGCTCTTGCGATGCTGAATGGTGTACTTCAGCCTTGAACCCAGTCTGGTTTCACAATTACTGTCTAGGGAAAGGAATATTTTTACTTCCCTCTCAGAGTTAGGTCCTTGTCTTAAGTCTGCTCTGAGGAAGCTCTGCACCAAGTTCCTCTGGTTGAAGCTTTTCCTCCTAAGTTCCTCCAAATCTTACTGCCTCATCTCACTCTCCCAAGTAAAGTGCCAAGTACAGTCTGAGTGGCCGTGGGAACAGACTTTTCTCTATGAGCTCCATCCTAGAATGAATGTCTCTAAACTTAGAAATCTTGTCCTAAGTTTTTCTTTTTTTTTTGAGACAGAGCCTCAAGCTGTCCCCCTGGGTAGAGTGCTGTGGCATCACAGCTCACAGCAACCTCCAACTCCTGGGCTCAAACGAGTCTCCTGCCTCAGCCTCCCAAGTAGCTGGGACCACAGGCGCCCGCCACAATGCCCGGCTATTTTTTGGTTGCAGCCGTGGTTGTTTAGCGGGCCCGGGCTGGATTCGAACCTGCCACCTTAGGTGTATGTGGCTGGCACCTTAGCCGCTTGAGCCACAGGCGCCAAGCCCTTGTCCTAAGTTTTAATCAGCAAACACAGAAGCTTCCACAGGATAGCACAGCCCTGGGTGTTCTTGGTCTCAAGTGCTTGGCTAGAAAGGACTTTGGCTTGCCCAAATGAGACTGCAGACTAGGGTGACTGACCGTCCTGGTCTGTTTGAGACTGTCCTGGTTTTAGTACTAAAAGTCCCTGTCCTAGGAGTTCATTCAGTTCTCTTTAAACAGGGAAGGTTGGCCACCCTACTGGAGACACACACTCCCATTACTCTGAGACACAACACAGCAAAACAGCACAAGGAGTGGGGGCCCTCCTGCCTCTCTGCTCATTCATTGCTTCAAAAATAATTTTGATTTTATTTGTTTGTTCTTGGAGGTAGAGTCTCACTATGTTGCCCAGGCTGGAGCACACTGGCTATTTATGGATGCAATAGCTCAGTGTAGCCTTGAAATCCCGGGCTCAAGGGATCCTCCTGCCTCAGCCTCCTGAGTAGCTGGGACTACAGGTACCTGCCACCATGCCCAGCTAAAAAAAAAATTTTGTAAGTAACAACAAGATGGCAGGCAGTGTTGGGGGGGTTGGGGCACAGACCCCAGGAATCACAGGGACATCCATGTGGAGCCACACCTGGACAATTTTTGATGACAGTCTGAGGGGGCAGGACAGAGGCTGGGCAGGCTCAGGGGTCTGAACATGCCTGGGATATTTTGACACACTCAGTCTCCTGAAAGCTGCTGAGGCCAGCTGAAGTAATGAACAATCCTACAAATGGGGAAAATAACCCACTCACCCAGGCAGAATCGGGGTCCTGGGGATTAGCGAGGTGACTCTCCTCACAGGGACAGGAGGGACAACTGATGAGGAAAGGGGCCTTGCAGTCATAACCCAGGGAAGCAGCTTGATACACTAGGAAGAAGCAGCTCCAAGCACAAACCCCTGCCTGTGACTCAAAGAGGAGTGACCTCGGGCACATCTTTTTTTTTTGAGACAGGGTCTCAAACTATCGCCCTGGGTGGAGTGCCGTGGCATCACAGCTCACAGCAACCTCCAACTCCTGGGCTTAAGAGATTCTCTTGCTTCAGCCTCCCAAGTAGCTGGGACTAGCGGAGCCCACAATGCCTGGCTATATTTTGGTTGTAGTTGTCATTGTTGTTTGCAGGCCTGGGTTGGATTTGAACCTACCAGCTCTGTGAATGTGGCTGGTGCCTTAGCTGCTGAGCTACAGGCACTGAGCCATCGGGCACATCTTGAACTTCCCTAAACCACAGATCTCTTGTCAGTGAAGTGGGAGGACACAGTAACAACTGTGTGAGTTCTCATAAATAGTAAGTAAAAAACAACATATACAAGCTGCTTAGCTCAGTGCCACTGCAGAACACTGGGCAGGGTTGGGAGAAGACTTCTCCCCAGCTCTGCCACCTCACATGCCGAGAGACCACAGGCAAGTCACTGAGCCTTCTCTTGGCCTCAGTTTCCTCACCTGTAAAATGGGGGCAGTAACGTGTGCTTTGTCTACATCAAATAAAATAATGGATAGGAAAATCCTTTTGAGAAAAATGAAAGAGCAAAGTCAAGGGTTGTATTTGTAAAGAGTAGCAGGCAGGAAGAAAGGGAAAGGAAAGAAAGAGCCGGGGAGAGAAAGAAAAGAGAGACTCAAGGTAAGAAGAGAGGCCCCGAAGAGCGGACAGAAGCCCCAGGAGGCAGTGGGTGGGTGAAAGCACAGGTTTGGGGTCACAGTTAAATTCTGGCTCTGGCAAATAATTTAACCTCTCTGGACCCTGGTTCATAGAAATACTAATACTAGCATGAACGCTAGATGGACACAACACAACAAGCTAGCAGGAGAGAATGCTGCAGTGGGGAGTCCGGTGGATGGGAACCAGTACTTATCACTACTATTTCTCAGGCCGCATTTCTACCACCTGCCTCCCTTGTCCAACTGCGTGGGGGGCACGGCATGGCACCAGCTCCTCAGGCCCACTGGCCAGGCCAATTGGTTGAGCACCTGCTATGAGCCAGGCACAGCTCAGGGTCCTGTAGCTGTGAACAGAGCTCTCACAAGGTCCTGCACTTGTGGGACTCATCCTGTAGTGGGAGATGGGCCACAGACAAGCATAGTAATGCAGAGCCCGATCAGATGATAGGAGGATGAGAGTGGGGACCACACAGCTCTGACTGCACACAGAAGGCCAGGTGGGCAGCACGAGGGGGTCTCACCTGGCATACTCCAGCCTGGGCAGCAGCAGGAACAGCCCCATGCAGAGCGCAAGGAAAATGGCAGCAGTCAGGAAGAAGGCCAGGGCGCTGTCCCTCACATCACTGGATGCTGCCAGGTCCACCAGCAAGGCCACAGCACTGATGGTTCCACCCATGGCTCCTCCTGCAGAGAGCACAGGACAAGGCAGAGACAGTGAGGGGAGGAAGGGGAGGCAGGCAGCCTGGGGCCACTCTCTGCTTGGATTCAATAGACCAAAATAAAAATGTCCCAATGAGAACAATGCCACAGTTGCTGTGGTATCCTGAAGAAGTGGAGGCATCTGTGGCCTGGTGTGTCTGGAGTTTCTGTGGGTGTAGTTCTCCCTTTCCCTTGGCTGGACTTGCTAAGAGGCTGCTGCCTAAGGTGACTCCCTGCCTCCTGGGGGTCCCTACCAGTCTGCTTCCCTTGCTAGTTACACCTCTGACCCTTGACCTTTAAAAAATTTTTTTTGAGACGAATCTTGCTCTGTCACCTGGGCTAGAATGCAGTGGCATCATGAAAGCTCACTGCAGTCTCAAACTCTCGGGCTCCAGGGAGCCTCCTGCCTCGGCCTCTGGAGTAGCTGGGATTATAGCAGTGAGCCACTATGCCTCGCTGATTTTCTAATTTTTGTAGAGATGGAGTCTAGCTCTTGCCCAGGCTGGTCTCAAACTTTTGACCTCAAGTGATCCTCCTGCCTCAGTCCCCCAAAGTGCTAGGATTGTAAGTGTGAGCCACGGTGCCAACCATTGACCTTTGTTGTCCTTCTAGTGGGGTAAGAAACTTTAGATGGAGGGGCGGGAAATGTCAAACAGCTTTGGATTTCCTCGTCTCTGAAGTTGGTCCAAAGCACCCACCAACCAATGAAAAAGCAGCTCAGGGAATGTTCTAGCAAAGGTTCACTCACTGCCCCTGAAGCACTCCTTTCTGGGGAAGCCCTCACTGGCTCCAAATTCCCACTGCACTGCCCATCCATGAGCTCATGGAACTTATCCTGTACTTCAAGGCAGCCGTGGCACTATACACATGTGAACACGTGCACACACACAGCCCTCACACATACACAATCACACACCTACATACACTCACACACGAGCATGCAGCCACCCTACCACGTGGGATATTCTTGGCGAGGGCTTTGACACATATTACCCCATGTGACCGTGTGGCTACCACACCTTTCACAGCTGCCTGACGGAAGGTGAGGGCGGCTCAGGAGTGCTGGTGTAAGGGTGGCCAGATCATTCACTCCTCTCTGCCTGTGTTTATCTGCCTAGGAAATGGGGCTTGTCTTATCCATCACATGAAGCCACAATGAGGTAGAAAAGGGATGATGAGTGGAAAAATCACAGCTACAAGGCCAGGACCATCCTCATCAATACAGGAAGGACCCGCTGGATATGCAGGACTGACCGGCTGGATGAATTTGCCCACTTTAGAGTGTTGGAATATGGATTTCCAAAGAGGCCAAGGAAGGCTGACTGCAACAGCAAAATAGCACGCTGGCTCTCACCTGGCACCACTGTCCTGCTCACTGTTGCACGGGGCAGAGTGGGAGAAGGCCAGTTCAGGACCTGTCCACTATGGTGCCCCACCACTGCATGACATTCCCATGCTCTGCCTGACGTCTGTGTGGCTCTGCAGGGAACAGCCCTTGGTCCTGATGGACAATCTTTCCCCCAACCTTCCCAACACAAGTTCTGTTCGCCTGGGCGGGGCTAGAGGGTGGGACCTGAGGAAGGCCAAAAGCATAAAAATTAGCATAGTGGTTAAGAAGTCTAGAATCAGAATGTCCACCTGAGAGCAATCCCAGTCTGACCACTTCTAGTTGTATGACTTTTGGCAAGTCCATTAACTTCTCTGTGGCTCCCATTTCCTCATCTATACAACGAGGATGTTAATAATCCTGCCTCTTTGGGCTGTTATGAAGATTTAAAGGATTAATACATGTAAAGCACTCAGAAGAATGCCTGGTGTAGAGAAGTACCAAATACCAAACAAATCCCCTCTGATTCCCAGTTTAGGTATGTGGCTATTTCTGTCCTTCCCACATCAAAGCAGCAACAACCGGGTAAACCCTTTGCCAAGAGGGTGCCCACTTCTGAGAAGCTGTAATCCCCACCTGGATGTTTTGTAAGAAGTGGGGTTAAACTCAGTAAGACTTTCCCCAGCTGCCCTGAGGGGAAGATCTTAACGTCCCTGCCTATTGATTTCCTCTCTCTCCCACCAACTTGGAGAGAATTTACAATATTATCATCAAGGACAAGCCAGGCCTCCAGGAGCTCATCCGTCATGACTCCCTCCTTTTATCTCATCAGTTATGGAAATACATGCAAATGAGTGGTTTAAAAAAAACAGCAGTATCAAATAAATGAATTGTTCCTCTGATGCCAACACACACAGAATTCACAGATGGGCTCCTCTGGACAAAACACAAGCAGCCTGGCAAGGTGGCACTGGGCACCCATGGGGGCTGCTTCACACAGGGTGACAATGGTTTAGGGCCCAAGGTCATTAACATTAGAACGTAAGTACATTTCCCTGCCTTCTCAAAAATGGACTTTCTAAAAAATTCACAGGACACTCCCCTTCCCCAGAAGATCCACAGGTGGCCAGATGCACCTGGGAGCCTCTTGCCAACACGAATGGTGTATCTGGTCACTGGTTTGCAGAGAGGTGGCCAGCAAGGCTGAAATTATACTGAAAACCCTCCTGCAGTACTTGGAGTGAGAGGAGGAATCAGAAACTCTTCCTGAGGCCAGAGGTGACAGGATTAAATCTAATGTTCGGAGGCCCTTCTGGAAGCATTGCTAGGGGCATGCTGACTATACTCAGGAAATTAGCAATGAGTCCATTATCATTTTATTTTAGGCCCAAGGGCTTCCTAGGATAGAGCCAGAAGCCTAATTCTATATCAAAAAATGGCAAACAGATTGAAGCTCACATCTAGACTCTGATCCGTGGAGAGCAACTGCCTCAAGTGCTGTGCTGAGAAGGATTTAGAGGCTTAGGAGGGAAGATAAAGATCTGCCAGTGATATCTGGCACTGGCTCGAGTGGGGAAGGGATACACCCTTGTCAAGGTATTTGTCATCCTGGCCACATGCTACTTGGAGTTATTCACTAATGGACACGGCATAGGTTCTTTGTGAAATTCCTCCCAGTAGGCAAATGTTTAGGGCCCACGACAGGGACATGGAGAGAGCAGCTGAGTGTCCAGTCTGCTGTAAGGGGTGTCCTCTCCTGGCAAAGCACCTGTGCTCACCTACTGAACAGCTCCTTCCTGCCCTGCAGTGCTGTCGGGTGAGAGTCATGTGCTTCTCCGGCTCAGAAGACAAAAATGCCAAGGTCTCCCCACAACAGACTCATCACATCAGCATCAAAACGTCACCTATGGGGACTGGCTCAGGTCATACACAGCACACCCAAGGTGTGTCAAAGTTCAGGGGACCGAGGAGTCCATTCACTAGGCTATGGGCTCCAGGAAAATGGAGTCTTGTTCATCTTTGAATCTCTGGAACATAACAGGTCCGCTATAAAATCAGGAAGAAAAGACGGAAGAAGGGAAGGAGAGGGGAGAAGGAGGAGACAACAGGTAAGGGACAGGAAAAATAGAGAGAAAAGGAGAAGGGGACAAGGGGAGAAGGGAGGGAAGGGCGGCTGGTTTCAGGAACTGCACTCCGTGGGCAGACTGCGCTTTCCAAAAATGGCTGTAACTACATCTCCCCTCCTCCCTGTTCTTACAGCACAACTGTCATACTCTTCCACTGAGATGTGTCCATCTGTCTCTAGGTGAACTTATGGCTGTGGTAGAAGTAACCCCATGTGGCTTCTGTCACTAAGTCAGAAATAAAGCTTCTGCCTGGATCTCTTGAGATGCTTGCTCTTATAAGTCAGATACCACATCACGAGGAAGCCCAGGCTGCCATGGTGCAGTCCAGGCGGGAGGAACAGAAGCCCCGGGCCCCAGCCCAGCCCTAGCTGAGCTTCCAGCACACTAAGAGAGTACACTATCTTGAAAGGAGACCTCCAGGCCCAGTTGAGCTGCCCTGGCTCCATCACATGGAACAGAGAACTGTCCCCTCCAACTCCTGTCCAAGTTGCACATCTGTGAGTAATATGACGGCTGTTGTTCTCAGCTAACAAGTTTTGGGGTGGCTTGCCACACAAGGACAGATGGCTGAAACCCACTCAGCTCACACATCATCTCTCCTGGAAGGGCCTCCACATGCTCACCTCTGGCTCCTCTGCATGACTCCCAGTGGAAGGCCCCAGCTCTCACCTGATAGCAGTGCCTGGGAATTCCTCATAGGGAAGGAGCCCGACATGCCGTAGATGCTGCTGTTGAGGACGGTAGAGGCACTGCTGAGGATCACCATGCACACAATGGTGACCACAAAGAAGCCACCAGTCCAGGAGGAGGTGTCCACCTTCACCAGCACGATCATCACCATGAAGATGGCCAAGATGACGGTCAGAGAGGCCAGGATGCGGACATGGACTGAAACCCTGCGGTGAGGAAGCCAGAAGTAGTTAGACACCCCCAAGGGCCCCCCATGCAGGGCCAGGCTGGTGAACCACTTTAAGGAAAGCAGGAGAGCTCAGCAGCTGGGAGGCCTGCATTTGAATCCTGCCTTCTTGGCTCACTAGCTCTGCATGCAGCCTTGGATAAGTGACTATGTCGCTGTGATTTTAGCTTCAGCACCTGTACAATAGGGAAGGGAGTCAATCCATTGTGTGGGGGGTGGGGCTCTGGGGAGGTGAGTGGTGTGGGGTGCAGAGAGACAGCACTCAGTGGATGCTGCTGCTTTTCACCTTGCTCTGAGGTTCAAGGACAGGACACCAGGACTTCTAAGGGAAGCTCCTGTTTCCCCTGCCACCGGGCTGAGCTTCCACTGGCTTTGTCTAGTGTTTAAACAAAGCTACTGCCCTCTGGGCTTCCTTGCCCTGAAACTTAGCAGAGGGCCAGGGGGATGGGGAAGAAGAGCATCCTCATCATAGCAAACACTCACATAGTACTTAACTTGTGCCCGGCCCTCTGCTAAGTGTTCTCTATACGCTCATGCGTCTAATCCTTGCACTGCTTCTGTAAGGTAGATATTCTTACTTATCCCAGTATACATAGCACAGATAAGGAATCTGAGGTCAGAGTGGTTAAGAAACTTGCTCAAGGTGACTCAGATCTGACTCTAGTCTGATGTCTCAGAATGATACTCTATGCCTCCTCAGAATAAAGGAAATGTGAATGGCACAGAACAGGTCCCCTGTGACGGTCTCAGTTGTCATAGGCAGGCAAGTTAGTGTGGCCCAGGGCTAGGCACCTTCCCCCACATCCACAATACCATGCCCGCATATAAGCCAAACACTTGTCCCAGCTCCCACACCAGCCTGGGGAGAAAAGCAGGGAAGGAGGCTGGCTGAGAAGCTGCGCATTTTTATTCTAGGGAGTGAGAACATCATCTCAAGGGGCTGTTTAAATCATCAGATTAGACTAAGCTTTAAACCAGATTGGATGTTTAGTTAATTTTCCTACTAACCAGTGGGTAGGGGCTGGGAAAAAGCCAGATTTCGTATACATCAATTTTTTTTTGATTAAAAAAAGAAAAGCTTGAAAGGTAGAAATATATATATGTACATAAATAGGTGTGAAATGATGAGCATGAGAAGCAAGAAAGGATTTTTTCCAAAGTGCTTTTTTGAGTTTCCAGGCTAATTTGAGTTTCCAGGCTAATTTGAGTTTCCAGGCTAATTTGAGTTTCCAGGCTAATTTGAGTTTCCTTCTGGTTCTGGGGTTGAGGGCTGAGCAGGTGCTGCCACGGCTTTGTAAGGGGCAGGGGGAAGCCCAAGGAGTAGAAGGGACAGTTCAGTTCAAGGTTGCAGAGTGGGACTGTAGGGAGCTGAGATGGAAACCCAGTGTGCCGAGCCCCAGCCTGTTGCTCAGTCTGTTAACGTGTATACTCACTGGCGTGCGTGTTCTACAAACATGCGCGGGTAACTCCTGGGTATGAAGCACTCTGATGCTGGGACACAAGACAGGGCAGCAATAGGTATTTCTTTTTCTTTTGAGACAGAGTCTCACTATGTCGCCTTTGGTAGAGTGCCATTGCATCACAGCTCACAGCAACCTCAAACTCTTGGGTTTAAGCGATTCTCTTGCCTCTGCCTCCCAAGTAGCTGGGAGTACAGGTGCCTGTCACAATGCCTGGCTACTTTTTGTTGAGGTTGTTGTTGCTGCAGTTGTCAATGTGTTTACCTGGCCCAGGCCAAGTTCAAATCTGCCAGTCTGTGTGTATGTGGCTGGCGTCCTACCCACTGAGCTATGGGCACTGCCTGCAACAGGTATTTCATTTCACTGTGCTTAGCACTCCACTGGGAGGCCACAGGGCTCACGGAACACATCCAGGGCATCCTGGAAGGCTATCTGGAGGCAGCACCTGAGCTTGACTGTATGGATGGCAGGGAGGCACATCAGATGTACGTGTACATATCTTTGGAGAGAGCGAGCCATGTTCAGGGGGCTGAAATGAGGCTGCAGAGAGACAGAACCACATGTCTTTCCAGAAGAGCAAGGCGGAGAAGTCCTTGGCCTGCCAGTACCCCTGCCCCTGGGAGAACACTCCTTCCTCCATCCCACATGAGGGATTGGCCACATCACTCATGCCAACACTCGAACAAGGGCACATGACATGGCCTGGGCTGATGCTAGATCAGAGTTTTCTGTGCTCTAGGCTGTTGGGATTGAGGTAGGGATCAGCATGTGACCAGGCCCAGTGCAGCCTCTGTGCCTGCCATATGGAAGCTGGTGGAGACGAACTTTCTCTGTGACTGTGTCTGTAGCTGCTAGCTGCCACCGTGCCAGCTGTGAGTGGTGGAGCCGTGTAGAGAATAAAGCCAAGTGCAGACACATGGAGTCTAGGGACAGGCAAGAGGTGACCCCCTAGACCCAATAATGTCTCAAGGCTGATGGGCCTTTACTTTTCAGTTAAAGAATGAGAAAATACGTTTTGGGGTCTCGTTTGCTATCAAGAGTGCCCACTAGCAAAAGAGGTACATCAGGGTTTCAGGCTGGGGAATGACATGGTCAGAGACTAAGGTGATGCTGCTGGTGTCCTGTCCACATGCTGTCCTTCTTTGCTTACCGCTTTAGGACACACTGGGCCATGAAGCAGACTAGAAGTGACAGGAAAGTAACACCTTTTAAGAGCAGCCTCCAACCAATGACTAGGGAGGTGGGTGGGGAAGTACCCCAGCCCCCCTTGGCCATGTGTTCCACACTGGTTCCCCGAGTTCCCCAGCAGGATTAAGCTCTGTCACCCTCTGTGGGGGCTGGCTTCAGAGGGCAGCTATGTTGGCTGTCTTCTCTTCCCTCTGTGCCTTCTGTACTCCCCTCCCTTTACCTCCAGAATAAACTACTTGCATTTGAATCCTTATTTCAGGATCTGCTTCTGGGGAACCCCATACTAAGACACATCTTTCCTGGGTCTGCAGGGGCTAGTAGGCAGCCAGGTGACCCCATGGACCCTTGGAGACCTGTAACATCTGCTAGAGAGCACATTAGGGTCTCTGGAGGCTGGCAGTCAAGATGCCTGATGTTTGGGGTAATCATACACATTCAACTCTGTCACACAAGGCCCCCCAACTTTTCCTTAGCAGCTGGAGCTAGGAAAGGCAGACAGCCTGAGTCAGCCCAGCTGTGTCATCATTTTGCTGTGTGACCCCAGGCAAATATCCAACCTCTCTGAGCCTCTGTCTCATCTCTAAAAAGAAGAGGCTAGACCAGATAATATCAAGGTCTCAGACAATTATTCTAAATCTGAAGACATTCAAGTGGAGGCAAAGGAGGCAAAGCACAGGCTGTCAATGTGAAGTGTGCGGGCTGCGAGGGCAGGGCCCTGCCTGTTCTCCCCCAGCACCGGCACAGGGCCTGGCAGGCACCTGGTAACTACTGGCTGGCTGTACAAATTGGTAAGGGAGGGGATCAGCAGTGCAGGGGCTGCTGCCTGCTTCCTGCCCCACTCCTCAGGATGGCAGGGAGGGCAGCTGGAGACATCTGTCAGCTTCCTCATAGACACAGGGAGGACAAAGTCTGGCAGGAAGAGTGACCATCTTGAGAGCCCTCCCCTGTGCTGTCACTACAGGGAGGTTGCCTTGCAGAGAGCTAGGGGACTTCTTGCTGAGGCTCGCTCAGGGCAGGAAGAAGACGATGCGCAAGCAGGTGGCAGATGTGCTCTGAGGGCCATGCCATCCCCCCACCAGGCCCCTCACCTGTGCAGGTCTCATTCTTGCTGGCTAATTACCTGCTGCATAAACCACTCTCAACCAGAGCCTCCATCTGTGGGCTCCAATGTTCCCCCAGCTTTAGGAAACATGCCAGTTGCAAGCCTGCCCCACATGTGCTACTGGGGCACTGGCTTCCCTCTCTGCATCTCCCATCTGGGTAGGGAGAATGGCCCAGGGGATGCTGGGGCTCTTGGAGTTTTAGGAGAGCCTTAGACAAGTGTTGCCCTGGTGTCTGGAGTTCTGCTTTGAGAAAGGCACGGCCGAAATGATAGCTCCAGGCTGGAGTCTGGGCAGGTCACACTGCCGGGAAGATCCTTGGAGGGGCTGTCAACCCCTCCACTCCCTTCATATGAGGATGCAGGACCCCAAGGGACCGGTTTCTTCATAAGTCCCCAAAATGTAAATCCTCCTCATAAGTATTTATGATGCTGCAGATTTAACATAATAAAACACTTGGCGATTATGGATGAGCCTTTCAAAGAAAGCCAGGGTTCTCCAGGAGGGGAGAAAAGGAGATGCTTCAATCTCGCACATTAAATAAAAAACAGCTTAGCCCCAAACCATCTTCCCATAGCTTGGATCCAGATGGAGGCCTGGGAACATTTCCCCACACTGCTCCCGCCCCTCCCCTAGAGCCCAGGAGAGGCAAGGGCAGGCTGGACAACCCCCTAGAGAACTTCCCGTAACTGCCCATCTCAGGAGAGGGATGGCCTGGAGCCCCTGACCGGCTGGAGACAGAACAGCCCTGCTGGACCACTCCTTACCTTCTCTGCACCTATAGCCCTGGAAATGGGAATCTCCATAGATCAACAGAAGGCTCTGGCTACAGAGTGGGTCAGTGGAAAACTGGGGAACTAGGAGGCATGTGGCCCAGATGTTCCAACTACAGATCCAGGGTGAGAAGTCTCCTGTGTGATGAATCCTGACTCTACTTCATGGCTATGTGGCCCTAGCAGGTCAGCTCTGTGAGCCTGCTTTCCCTCTTCACAACAGGGTTACAATAGTTCCTTGTTCTCAGGCTGCTGGGAGGGTTAAAGGAGAAACTGCATCTGCAGCATAAGAATGCTTGGAAGTGCTGACTATTGTTGCGAGATCTTTCCCCCAGGGCCCTGAGGCTGGACCTCCCCTGCTGCTGCAGACCCACTGTCCCAGGCAGGCTTCTGGCCCGCTGGACTCCCAAACCACAGAGGAAGAGGCAAAGCAGCAAGCTCTGGAGGCCCTAAGGTCCCTATGGTTTTGATCTCCACTTGGAAATTGGGGCAGTGTTACTGCCTCCCTCCTGGGGTGCTGCCTAGGTCCTAAGGGCCATGACAAGGGATAACGAGGCATTGTATTACACCCACCACAGTGTAGTTTGGAAGGTAATTCTGGATCCGGAAGAGGGTAGGAGGAGTTCTCATTTATGCAAGTCTGGGCTATCTAGGCTTGACAAACACCCTTGTCCTGAGGACTGGCTCAGTGAGTGGACAGAGGATCATGAGAGAGGCTGAGGGTTCCCAATCAACATGGCTGTTGTCCCTCTCTTCCTCACCTTCCTCCTCTGGCCTGCCCTTGCCTTCCTCATACTCTCTCCTCTGCAGGGTGCTACCAGGATCCTCACTCTGCTCTCCAGGGGCTGGTGGTGGCAAGGGAACACTGGCTTGGCTCCTATTGCCATTCTTCCATTGTCCTGGGTGAAGTCTCTGCAGGCTGCCTCCCCCAGCCTCTGGGACGCAATGTGAGATAGATAGCCCTGTGTACTGGGGAAGGCCAGTTGGCTTGCAAGAAGGGCTGCGAAGTCCTCAGGCCCATCTAAGCACCGTCCTCCTCACTCTTCCCGACTGCACTTTGGTTTTAAGATAGGTGCAAATCCTTTGCCACTCCTTCCATCAGGAGGTAGAGTCTATGTCCTCTTGAAAGAGTGGACTTTGTAACTGCCTTGCCCAGTGAAGCATGGTTAAGGGTAGCTTCTCCTTGCTTTCTTGGGGCATTTGCTCTTCAGCCTCTGTGTAAACAGTCCCATGACCCTGAGACCAACAGGGACAGACTACAAGGAGAGAAGGAGAGAGGAAAAGAGAGAGAGAGAGAGAAAGAGAGAGAATGAATATGAGTATGACTTTAACTGTAGGAGAGATAGTAAGCCATATGTGTCAGCTGAGCCTGGATAACCCCCCGAACTTGAGAAATACCAATTATGACTATTGTTTTAAGCCAGTATGCTTTGGGATCATATGATTGAACACATAATGAAATAGCCCCATAGTATAATATGTTTAGAAAGACTTATCTGGTGTTCAGTCAGCCACAGTACACTCCCTGAAGCTAGACCTGTTTTAGAATCCTGTTCAACCAGTGATCCGGCAGTCACTACAGATGACTACAAAAGAGCTGAGAAACACAGATTTACCATCAGTGAGCTAAGGTTTCAGTAGGTCATGCCCAGGGAAGCCAGGTTTCTGGACCATAAGTAACCACTACCATTATCACGTAGCAACAGCATAGGGAAAATGTGGGCAAAGCAGCTAGGATTGCTATCCATGTAAACTCCAGCTGAGAATGGCCAGCAACAGCCACCCAGTGGGGTCTATGGGCCATGCTAATTTGCCTGGCTGTCTCCTAAATAACTCTTTCCATGGTGCATCCAGATGGAGCCTCTCCTAGTCCTGACCAATACAATGTTAGAAACTCCTCCTATTGTGTGAGTGGCTGACACACCAGCTGGTGTTACCAGCTTAGCACTGAACCATCAGGCCACTATTCTGAGCCACCTGCTTGCAGCCACGGAGACAGGCTTCCCTGAGAAGAGAAAGGAGGAAGAACTCTGGATGCCCACACACCTCCCACTGGCTGCTGCCATGACGTCACAGCAATGTCCCAATGGCCACTAGAAAGTAAGAATCCAGCTCCCCAATGGGCATCTGCTCTCTCAATCTTCATGGATGAATCTGAGCTACCTGGCTTCTACTTTGGTGACCATCATTAGAACAGGCAGAGAGAAAGCAGAAGTGGTTGAGAGGGGCACTCGGAGGCAGGAGGGGAGGGGGGGCCTTAGTGGAGGGCGGCCTACCTGTTGACCAGCAGGAAGTTGGCCAGGAGGCACGGCAAAGAAGGCACGGAGGAGGCGATGACGAGGTAGCTCTCAAAGTAGTTCTGGAAGCACACAAGCAAGAGGCTGCCGATGTCACTCAGGATGGAGGCAAAGGCCCACCCCAGAGCAGGGACAGGGCTCCTCTCGGTGGGGTAAGTCCACCACAAGATGACACGGTCCCATCCCATCTCCAACATAAGACCACTCACTCAGTTGCTCAACAAACAGCTGTTGATGTCAGCTATACTAACGGCTGTGACACAAGGCAGGACATCGTCTCTGTCTGCAGTGAGCCCTGATGCCCTGCAGCTTATGTTCCCACCATAGACCGAGGTGAGGGGACAGGATCTAGCATGTGTCTAAGAAGGAAAGCTCTGCCCAACCAGCCTTCTTGGCCCATTGCCCAAGTTCAAGATTATCCACATGGGTTTTTTAATGACCCAACCATTTTCTCATGTTGTTGTTACAACCAAGTAAAACCTCTCAGAAATAACCCAGGCCCTGCCCCCATAGAGGGAAACTTTGTTCTGACTCTGGATTTCCGCTCTCCACAGAACTGCTACAGAAGGTCAAAGCCGTTTTGGGAAGCAGCTCCTGGACTGGCCAGAATGCAGAAAAAGGGCATTTTCCCAGCAGAGGCTCAGGAACACGCTAAAGTATACACAAGACCATAGAACCATAGAGAATTTCCTCGTTATAACGCTCTGGAACTCACGGTGAAGGCAGTTGCGTATGCCAAAACTCAGAGACTGTCCAATCCCGAGGATAGACTGGGCTGTGTGCAGTATCATCCCTTAACGCGCCCGTCTTTAAAAAGTAAACACAACACAGCACTGGAAGGAGCTGCTGCATCTGTCTTGGCTTTGGTCTCTGTAGACCACAAAGCCCCAGGTTGGTAATCATGGGTTCTAAGCTGAGATAATGACACACATACCCAGCATTTACCAGGTACCAAATACAAGGACTTCATGTAAATTATATTGTTTAACCCTAAATAAACAAATAAAGAGAAAGTGAGCTGAGAAAATATTTTGTGTACAAACGTGTCAAGGACAAAGAATGAGTGTTGCCTCTTTATCTACTTCCCATAGCAATGGAGGCCCGGTCACTGTCTACAGAGGATGGATCTTGCTTTATAAAGTTTCTTAACTCTGTAAATTTATCTTTCTCTTCTGCAGTAAACTTTGTTTCAAAAACTTTTGCCTTAAAAAAAAAAAGTGAATGCAAAGAACTTGCCAACGTCCAAAGAACTGGCCAAGTGTAGTGTGGCTCTTGCTCACTAGAACACGGTGTGCCTCATGAGGAGTGTAAGATAGAGCGTGAAGATCTACTAACAGCTCAAAACACCACAAGAAGGCATGTGAGAATCTTGTGGTGGTGTTGTTTGCCAGATCCCAGAAAGGCAGCATGGGAGTTCCAGGTTGGGGTGGGGTGGGGTGGGGAGGTCAGGTGCTTGGAGAATGGGAATGAGTATGGGTTTGGGGAAAGTCCCATAGGAGGTGGGATGTGAGTCTGACTTTGAAAGAGGGGGTCAGGCTCCTCCTTGATTGCAACCTGGAGACCAAGAAAGAAAGATGTCACAATGGGACCCTTTCAGTCTGAAGCACACACGATGGTCCCCTTTTAAGCCTGGAGAGTATTCTGTGGTTTTTTGAAATCTGCACCCAGAATATAAGGCCAGAGTGGCCTTGCAATTAAAATGATAATCATAGCTAGTGTGGTCCATCAACCATGAGCCTTAGAAATAGCCTTCCGCCTTTGAGGTGCACCTCATTGTTCCTGCCCTGATGGGCTCAGCAGAGCCTGGACTGGTCTGGGGCATCAGTCAATTACATCTTGACACAGTGGCTGGGCCTCTGTGAGGCTGGGTGGGAGCAAAGGAGAAAGGCCCTTAGGAAGAGCAGGCTGCAGATGGGGACCGGCCAAGACTGCCCCCGGCAGGACGCCTTCCTTCAGTGGCTGCTCACTCTGTGCCTGGCTGTCATGAGGGAAGCAGAATCTCAGTTTTTGTTTCTTGGAGGAGATTCAGGTTCCCTGAATGTTCTGATTTGTTGATATTTAAGCAGAAAAACGTGTCTTTTAATGTTGAGAAGCTTCTTGAATATTGACAACTGGAGAAGACTCCAGTCCCTCTCTATTGACTGGGCCTATTTCTCTGCTTTATAAAGAAAACTTGGTGGGAAGAATGGACATGCAGCTGAGCCATCCTTCCATCGACACAGAGCAGGTTATCACAGGGGTTTGCCTTAGCACATCCCATGAAATTAAAAAGAAAAAACTGTTAAGTACTGATATAAACATGTGGCTGGGTTTTTTGGTGTTTTTTATTTTTATTTATTTATTTATTTATTGTGGTTTTTGGCCGGGGCTGGGTTTGAACCTACCACCTCCAGCATATGGGGCTGGCACCCTACTCCTTTGAGCCACAGGCGCCGCCCCTATATGGCGGTTTTTATTCAATTATTTGCTGCTTTTGCCTGTGAGGGAGTTCTAGAAAGGTGAGGCATGGTAGGGCAGATGCTAAAGTGCCCCAGGATCACTGCCCCCTATACTCTTACTCTGCACCATTGTGGGTCCTGCATGTGGGCAGGACCTGCGGCTGCTTCCAAACAAGCAAACCAAGGAAAGGCAACGGGAAGATAAGACCATGTCACATAAGGTTGTAGCTCCCATCAAGCAGGACTCTCTTTTTCTCCTTTGCTGGCTGTAAGAAGGCAGGTGGCCATGGTGGGGGACCCCAAGATGCTGAGCACATTCTCCAGCCAACACTCAGCAGGAAACTGGGTGAAGCTCTCAGGCCTTCAACCACATGGACCCTAATTCTCTAACAACCCTAGTGAGCTTGGAAGTGATCCTTCTCCAACTGAGCCTCAGAGGCTTCTGCCCAGCTGCCGGCACAGTGCTGGCGCACACGGGACTGACCCCTTGATAGGGCTGAACACTGTGGGATTACCAGCCAGCCTCAGGGTCTCCTGCCTGGGGCCCACCTGCTGGGGCAGAGAGATCTGCTTGTGGAAGCCTCATTGCCTCACATTGCCCCTTCTCCCACCCTCCCAGAGCCCCCTGTATCTGCTGTACCCAGCTGCACCTACACCCCCCTGCCTTCCTGCCACATCACACACATGTCTGTAAGGCCCAAACTGACCTCCAGGGCCTGCAGGTTGTCAACAGGCTGTCTATACAGGATTGCTCTTGCACAATTCTGAGAGGTACCATTCTTATCTCATCACAGCCCACAGGGCTGGTGCCCCCAGGGTTGTGTACAGCATAGCCTCTGCTGTTGTGAATAGTGGCCTCTGCTGTTGGGCACAGTGACCCCGGTGCTGTCTCCCTCAGGGCTTCCTCATCCCCTGACTCCCTGGCTGGAGCTGCCTTTGGGGGTCCATCTACATGTTCACTTCTAGAAGTGGAGATGGTTGTAAGATGCCTGGTGGGAGAAACAAAAACAGGGCCTTTGAAGGAGATCGGGAATCAGGTCCAAGTGGAGGTAAATTCTGTGTAAATTATCCCCAAACGTTGCGTTCCATGAAATCTATCTATTAACCCCTTGGATATTACAGATAGCTTTGGAGAGACAGTACTGTTACCATCCTAGTCACAAATGTGTCTGAACCTGTATTCAACGGTCCTTACGTAAAATGGGACCCTAGGGCCCCTTGGAAGCCATGACGGAGAAGCCGTGGCATCTGCATGCCCTTGGGAGTTAGGTGCAAACCCAGAGCTGGGTACAGCAGATACAAGGTGTGCTGGGAGGGCAGGAGGGGGCAGCTAGAAGGATGCGGGTACCATGTCAGAAAGACAGGTGTGCCCACAGGAGGTAATGGCACACACAAAGACACACAGGGATGCTTCTTTGCTGCTGAGGACACCAACTCAGGTTCATTTCTTACAACTGATCTCTGAATCTTTCCTCAGAACCAAAAGGAATCTGCTGAGCTGAAACAAACTGCACCATGTTGTCCACCCAACCCACATGATTAGAGGAGAGGCTGGGAAGGGTGGGGAAGCTCAGGCAGCCAGGGCATGTGTCCCCCAGGGTGCCAATGAGAGAGAAGCCTGTCAGTCACCACCCTGAGTTCTCAGACCCATGTGAGGCAAGGCCCAGCTCTGAGGACAGGAAAAGCTCTTGTTTCTTGAATGCATGGGCTAATCTCCCAGAGCTCCATCATCTATCTCTGCAGGGTTATCTGTACCTTGCAGTTACCTGGGACTTGAGAGGGGCTCAGCACCCAGCCCTGGTAGCAGTAACATTAGAAGTCATCCTGTCAGGTGACCCAGGGAGGGAAATGGCAGCCCTGCAGAACGCAGCTTATGCGTGGCCTGCACAGACCCCAGCCCATGAGCTCTCACCGCAGCCTATAGGGCAGGGCATGGCTGGGATCTTCCCATTTTATAGACAAGCAGCCTGAGGCTAACAGAGGTGGACGAGTTTCAGAGGCACACACCTAAGCAATGCTAGGAACAGGACCTTCTGGTGCAGGGACCCAGGGGAGAGGCACTTATCCTCACTCAACAAATATAAAACACACAAGCCCAGACGCTATCACTGGGGCCACAGTGCATCATCAGGATGCCCTAGCAGCTGGGACTGGCAGTCCCCATGCCTTGTAGCGGGGAACTGAGGCTCCATCAGTGAGAGCCACATTTCTTCCAGGGTGAGCAGCATTTGCCTTCTGTCCCAGCCTGTAAGAGAAGGGATGCTATCTCTTCTCTCAAACCCAACACCCATTTCCTAGGGCATTTCAACAGGGAAATGTGTTAAAAAGAAAAAAAAAGATTAAGAGGGAGGCCCCTACCTGCCAGCCACCCGAAATGGCTGGATGTGATCAGCAGCTAAGCATAAACCAGTAGTAGAAGGGGGCAGTTTGGCTGGGAAGCATCCGGCAGGCTTCCCAGCTCTGCCCCAGCTGTGCAACCCTGGGGTGGGGCTGGGGCTCTTAACCCAGCCTGTGGGCAGGCCCTGGCCTGGGGTGCCAGGCATCAGCTGCTCCCTACAGGGCAGATGAGTATGCACAAGGCACATCTGGCCTGGGCCTGGGGCACTTGAGTCACTTGTGGTGGC